CACACATTTTAAAGTCACGGAATCCTAGTTACAAAGACTTTAGCACAGCGTCATCTTTTTTTAGCCCCACTACACGTAAACCAATCCGGACAGTTCCATGAACATCTCTCACGTTCAGTGTTAGAGCAATTAAAGCTTGTTTAATGAAATGCATTTTGTTTCAACATATAATTCCAATACAATAGGACCATATGATGTATGAAGTAAACCAAGTTTGGAAATGTTATTTCTAAAAATAAATGATCCTTCTCAAGAGTTTAATAAACATACAAAACACGTATCCCCAGTTTTTAAACAATTTACAGAAATCTGAAGATTTTCTTCTCCTAAGCAGAGGTATACACCTGTATAAGGAAGCAAGCAACACTGACATACATACCAGTGACGACAGCATTAGCCTCAGCTCTATTATCAGTCTCAACGGCACCGTAAGATTTTAGCAGCTCTTTCGTGTTTTCATCATCTGCTTCATCCAAGGCTGTCTTCTGCTTTTTATCCTTTTGATTAGGGTTTGCTCCATGTTGTAGTAGAATTTCAGTTGCCTAGATAGTATTTTTGCAAAGTTATCTCTACAGACACATTAAGATCAATAGTCTCTGCTTTCATTACAAGATGCCACTACCAAGTATTAAAAGTTATCAAAAAAAGTTTTCAAACTCTGGCCCCCCAATTTTTGATTACATTTGATATGACAACTGTAAACTGATCCACAGATTTGGCCTGATTTGACCTCACAGGAGAACCAAACATGATGACATGAAAGCACCAGGTACATTGCCTTCACCGCCGAAGAGGCAGACTTAGGTAGACCGATGTGCAGAAGTATTTAGTCTCTCTAACAGAGCCCTTTGTCCTCCCACAAGATGCTGGAGACAGGGTGGAGAAGGGAGCAAGGATCATTTCAGGATTATATTATGAATTATATTTTAAATTGCCATTAGACACAGTTGAATAAAGTTCTGTTCAAACTATATTTCAGGGATAGTACTTGTTCACAAGGTTTTATGAGCTAGCCTGGGAATCTAATATCCATCCTAATGCCTATACAAATATGTCCTGTTTCCTAAATAACTGACTTACATTCACAGAATGCTAATAAGATAAAAAGAAACAGAAATAATCTACTCCAACTCCATCTTTTACAGAAGAAGAAACTGAGGTCAAAGAGTAATGTTGCAATATTTGGAGGGTAAACAGTTTCTAATATAAATAATGTTTCTCTGAATAACTCAAACTTGTGTGTTAGAAGTAAGTTTGTAACTCATCAAGGTTAAAGATGGTCACTAATCAGTTTACAATATAAGTTAATCAGTTAAAAAAACAGTAATTTCATCTGCACAAGTGACTCAAACCACTGACAAATCTTCTGATTAGGAAAAGATGGTCAGGATTTTGTAAAAGTAAAGATATGCTACATGCTAGTAGCTTTTCTCTGTCTACTTGTGTCCAGGTATTAAGAAGCAGAAAACCTGAAGAGCAAGTGGGCCAGCAGAAATTATAAAGATAGCCCCTTATTTGTTCTATTAGCTTAGAGTTAGCCCAGCATAAAACAAAACATATCTGTCTTAAAGTCAAGCATACAAAACTCACTCCTGCTACTTACTAGCTGTGTTCCTGGGCAAGTTACTAACCATCTGAACCTCATTTTTATCACTTACGAGGAATACACGTGAACCCTTGTGAAGTATCTGGCACACAATGGGGCTTAAGGGAAACAGTCCTCTACTCAGCCCTCTGTACACTCCAGCAGGGGTTCTGCCAATCCTCCCTGCAGGCTCTCTGCCTAATCTTATGTTCATTTGTAGACCAGCCAAAGAACACAAGGGATTCCCCTTTAAATCTCTGGAGAGTTCTCTCTGTGTAGATCCACTCTATCTGGTATTTTGCCCCATAAATTCTAACTGCCGGAGTCTTTTAAACTCCAAATTGTATCTTTTTAACTCACTGAGACCATAAGGCTATCGGTTTTCTCCCTCCCTATGCTTTTGCCTAGAAATCCCATCTAGTCCATAAAATGGGACAATCTTAGGGTTCATCTCATTGGCTTCATTTCTCTCAGGGACCACTGCCCCCTGCTGCATGTTGACCAATGTCTCAAAACTGTTATTTTATGTGTTTCACTAACTTTTCTAGTTGTTAAGTTGGGAGGGAATATCTTGTCCCTGCTATCCCACCTTGTCCAACAGTTGATGTCCATCTCCACCCACATTTTATCTTTTTAAAAAAATCTTTTCCTCTCATTTTCCTTTTCCTTATCTTTTTATCCTCTATATTTTACAAGGAAGAATATATGACAATCTTAGAAGATAACTTAAAACAGAAACTAAGATTTTTTAATTGAAAGTTCAATAAGAAAATAAGATGTTTAATAACTTTGCATGTAGTCATGCAAGATTGAAAATTAAGAATTAAATAGAATAGGGTGCTATATAATTGATACTGATTAGGTCTACAATACCATATATTTACCTCTCTTGTCCCCTCTTTTTATCTTTCTAGATCATCTATCAACATCTAATCTCAAAATAAAGAAACAGGGACAAAAGGGACAAAATGAGTCAGAAATAAAATAAGCCAATGACAGAAGAACTGTCACATGGAAAATTAATGAAAATATGAAGGAAAATGCTGGCAATGTATCAGTACCAAAGGAATTAAAATATCATTAAAAAAATACTACTTCCTTCTTTTCTTTAAAATAAAGGTAACAGAGATATGGAAGGTTATTTCAAAAGCAAACTTCATCTGTATCACCACTGAGGTAAAAGAACATAAGTGATTCTCTAGAACAAGCAATAGTAAACTATGGCCCATGTGCCAAATATGGTCTGTTGCCTGATTTTGTAAGTAAAGTTTTATTGGCATACAGCCAAACCCACTCATTTACATATTATCTATGTTTGCTTTTATACTACGATAGTTGAGTAGTTCCAAAAGAGACTGAGTGACCCAGAAAACCTAAACTGTTGATTATCTAGCCCTTTAGAGGAAGTATTTACCCATCCCTCCCCTACACCAGAGCTGTCCAACTGAGTTTTCTGTGACAATGGAAATGTTCTCTTCTGTACTATCCAATATGGGAGCCACTTGCTGCGTGTAGCTATTGAGTACCTGAAATGTGACTAATGTAACAGAATAAATGAATTTTTTAATTGAATTGATTTTAAGTAATTTAAATTTATTAGTTACATGGAGTTAGTGGCTACAAGATAGGACAGTACAGCTCCAGATCAAATTCCTTATCTCAGGGCTAAAGGTATCTTTCTCTTTTTCAAGCAGCAGAACTAGGCCTAGAATTCAAGTCCTCCAATATTCAGTTCAGTGTTTTGTCTACTAAGCCAAGCTCCCCTTCTGCTATTTCCTGTGGTTTATTTTCAGTTCTTGGCCCTTATCTTCACAGAGGACCCTCCCCTCTATATCTGAGTAATCATTTTCTCCAACCCTTGCTATGCGGGAAGCTGGCATCTTCAAAATAGGAAAATTCTCATTCATGAAGGCTATAAAGTCTGACCTAATCAAACATTCCTTTCCACTCTCATTAACATGGCACTTTTCCCATCCATCAGGTTAAAATCTATCTCTTGATTTTTGGTCAGTTTACCACTGGTCACTGATACTGTAAATAGCCAACAATAAAATGGAAATACACTACAAATTGATTACAAAGTCAAAATGCACAGATGTAGGATCTCCTGAAGTCATACATTAAAATAATGTTGTAAAAATCCTTGAAGCACCTGCAAAGCAACTAATAAACAAGAAATTCACAGGCAAAATTGTTAACCTAAAAAAGAAAAATCAAGATTTGAATAAGAGTGGATTAATAGAGGACCTAGGGAAAACTTGTGGAGCCTCTCAAAATTTTTGAAAAAAGGCCTTCCTTGAGATCATGGTGCAAAAATCAGCTTTGAGATAAAGGATGTCCTATGTGCTGTCATATTGTTTTGCCAGAAAAGCTAGACTTCAGTCTTTTGCTGTTCCATAAATTAGTATATGTTTCAATTAGAAACTCAATACAATACTATTTAGAAAAGAGTTACCATAGCAGGCCTAAGACTGCAATCCAGAAAGGCTGCTTGCAAGGCTGGCCTTTTGCTGGCATCTGTGAACTTGGGTGGAAAACAGTGTTCCACACTGATATAAAACTTTCCCTAACTGATAAGGGTGGTTCGCTGTGCTTAAAGTGTCTACACAAGCAATGTGGTTTATGCTTCTGGGAGTCTGGAATCTTGGTATGTGCTAGGCAGAGGGTGCCTACATGACCAGCCCCCAGTATATATAATGAGCTTCCGTGGGCAGAACATCACACTTACGCTGCTACATTTTCTCTGCTGAGGGAAAAGCAAACTGTGTGACCTCCTATGAGGAAGACAGCGTAGTAAAGCCTTTACATGGATACTTCCCGACTCCACCTCTTTCTCTGATGATCCAGCTTTGCATCCTTACTACACTGCTGAGATAAATCTGAGCTATGAGTACAACCATATGCTGAGCTCTGTAACACTATCTAATAAATTTCTAAATATATGGGTGGTGCTGGGGAGCCCCTTATTTTGTTTTATATTGCATTTTTCAGGATAATGTCCAAAATCCTGATTTCCCCACTATGGTATTTTGGTCCTTATTTAAGTAGTTTCACTTTAAGTGGTCTTTTCTCTGTACAAATAACCGGTAAGTTGATCACTCTAATGATTCTTCCTGTGTGCTTTCTTTCATTGTACAACCACACAAACTTGACGTTGTCTATTCTCTTTTAATTTAAATATCTTAAAGGTCAAAGAGATTCTGCAGTCAAAGAAGCCTCTCTGGACATTAGCCCACCTACCTGGTTATTCTTCATCATTAGTTTGTATCTCTTATCTCTGCAAATCATAAATTCAACACTATTCTTTCATGACTACATTTAGGCTGAAAACACTGGGGATATACTTTCACAAAATTAAATAAAAACTACCAGGCTATTGAAGAATACCTACAGACATAAATTTGGCATTAGTGAGACATTCAAGGACTTTTAAAATATGAACCCTGGTTTTATACTGTTGTTGGTAGTTTCCTTAACTATTTTTCAAAGCATATAATTATTCCTGAAGTCTACATTGCCTATTGACAACAATAAAAGTTTTCTCCTAAAGTTTGTCAAACAAAAAGATGAGCTTTAAAATGTGAAGAATTTCAACGTTTAGATTTGAAATTCAGTGTTACTGAAATAATGACCCCAGTAATTTTCTCTTCTGATATTTTTACCATAGCTGTCAGATGAAACAAACAAACAAAGGAGAAAAAGATGTAACAACCCCCTACGAAACAAGCAACTTGAGCTTTTACCCATTTCTTTGAAACTTCAAACCCGTTGAGAAATTCTGAGTTTAAAAAAAGGCTGGCTGTCACATATGTCATAACTATATAGACTTCTTTATGAACAACAGCAAATCATTTGAGACAATTAAAATTGGAATATACAATATTGATAGGCTGTTTACTTTGAGCCTTTCTATTTTATTCTGACTTACATGAACTATATAATGAAGAGAAAATGGAAAAATAATTCATTAGGAAATATATTAATTTTTAATCTACCCACAATATTATATTCATATTCATTTATACTTTTTAGCAGTTTTTAAAAATTCTTTGTTTTAAGGAATCATGTTAGTTCTCAGTTTAAAGTATCTTCATTGTCTTGACTCAATTTTCTTTATAATGTCCTTTTTTTCTTTATAATGTATTTTTTCTTCTTTTATTGGGGGGGGCTTAATTAGGTTTATTTATTATTTATTTTTAATGGAGGTACTGGAGATTGAACCCAGGACCTCATGTATACTGGGTATGTACTTCATCAAACTATACCCTCCCCCTGCCCCTGTCTTCATTGGATTTTAAAAAAAAGTAATAGGAGCCCAGTCTGATGTATACTACACCTTTAAATGGTTGTTTGCAACAGCATCATGTAAAGGCAGAATTCCATCTAGATTTTCACAATTAACTTTAGCATTAGCTTTTAACAATTCTACAATTGTATCATTACATCCTCCACTAGCTGCCTCACGAAGTGGTGTCCAACCTAAAAAAGGAAAAGAGAAAAACAAAACAAGAGGCTCACAAATCAACATTCAAGTAATTTCTTCATTATCAAGTTTATTTTCACTAATAGAATTAATATCTATATTGATTCAAGTATATATACACACACACACACACACACACACACACACTAAGTATTGGACAAGGAATAATATAGAAAACAGGCTGCCTTAAGAGCCTCAGAGCCCACACAGCTGCCCATGGACACAGTCCTGCCCAGGGCCCAGCAGCTAGAGACCCTGGGACCCAGGTCCACCCACCAGTGGGCAGGCACTAGCCCCAGAAACCTCTGGGTCCCAGCCCTGCCCACCAGCAAGCCTGTTCTAGCCTTGGGAACAGCCCCACCCAAAAGTGGGTGAGCACCAGCTCCAAGACAACTACTATAGCCCCACAGCCTGCTGTGCCAGGACCCAGCCCACCCATGAGCAGGCCAGCACCTGCCCCAGGACCAGCTGGGCCCAAGTTCCAAGCAGCAAGCCAACACAAACCTCAGGACACTCTGAACCCTGCTGCCACCTGTGTCCGAAATTGCACCCCCACCTCCCAGCAGTCTAACACCAGCTCTGGGACCTCTGGGCCCTGCAACCAGTCCCCAGGACCTGGCTCTGATCACCTGTAACCCAACACTAGTGTTAGGAACTAGCTTCACCCACTGGCAGGCAGACAACAGCCCTGGGATCTCCTGTACCCAGACTCTGCCCACCAGTAAGTCAACATTAGCCCTGGGGTCCTCTGGGGTTCAGTAGCCAGCTGCCTCATGACTCAGGCCCACCAACCAATGGCCAGCAGTCTCTATACAAAGCAGAGCCTGGCAATCAACCCAACCAGGGGCTGGCCAAGCCTACCAGACTAACTGCCCACAGTAGTTAGCCAGCCACAACAGAAGGACTCATGCAGCCCATACAGGAGGCACCCATAGAGCATAGAGCTCTGGTGATCAGAGAAGAGTATGTTGAAAGGAAGCATAAGACATCTCCTACAAAAGGCCACTTCTCCAAGGCTGGGAAATGTAACCAACCTACCAGATACACAGAAATAAAAACTTCAAGTTAGGCAAAATAAGGTGACAGAGGAACATGTTCAAAACAAAGGAAGAAGATAAAACCCCAGAAGAAGAACTAAGTGAAGTGGAGATAGAGAATCTACCCAACAAAAGAGTTCAAGGTAATGATCATAAGGATAATCAAAGAATTTGGGAGAAGAATGGATAAACAGAACGAGAAGCTAGACGTTTTTAACAAAGACTTAGAAAATATAAAGAACAACCAAACAGAGATGAAGAATATAACAAGTGAAATGAACAATACACTAGAAGGAATCAATAGTACACTAAATGATATAGAAGAATGAATAAGTAAGTTGGAAGACAGAGCAGTGGAAATCACTGAAGTTGAATAGAAAAAAGAAAAAGAATAAAAAGAAACAAGGACACTTTAAAAGACCACTGGGACAACATCAAGCATACCAACATTTGCATTATAGGAGTCCCAGAAGGAGAAGAAAGAAAGGGGCAGAGAGCATATCTGAAGACACAGTAGCTGAAAATTTCCCTAACCAGGGAAAGCAAACAAATATCCAAATCCAGGAAGCATAGAGAGTCCCAAACATAATCAAACCTAAAGATGACCACACCAAAACACACTATGATTTAAATGACAAAATTTAAAGATAAAAAGAGAATGTTAAAAGCAGTAAGGGAAAAGCAACAAATAACATACAAGGGACTGTCTCTAAGGGAGTTCAGCTGACTTTTCAGTAGAACTCTGCAGGTCAGAAGGTAGTGGCACCATACTTTTAAAATGATAGAATGGAAAACCTGCAGTCCAAAATACTCTACCCAGTAAGGCTCTCATCCAAATTTGATGAAGAGATCAAAAGCTGTATAGACAAGCAAGAGCTAAAAGAGTCCAGTACTACCAAACCAGCTTTAAGAGAAATTTTAAAGGGACTTTTCTAAGCAAAAAAGAAAAGGTCACAACTGGAAACATAAAAATTATAAAAGGAAAAAGCTCATAAGTAAAGGCAAATAAACAGTAAAAGTAGTAAATCAACCAGGTACAAAACTATAAGGAATGTCAAAAAAAATAGTAGTAGAAAAAAATCACTCTAGCCACAATAAACAGTTAAGGAATATCCAAAAAAAAAAAAAGGAGATGAAAAATATGATGTCAAAACATGTTGTAATCATGAGGAGAGTAACAATGCAAGGTTGTTTAAATGTGTTTGAAATTAAGAGATCTGCAAGTTAAAATAATCATCGATAGATAGATAGATAGATACACACATACACACACACATACCTACATACATACATACATATAAAACTCATGGTAACCACAAACCAAAATTCTATAATAGGTACACATGCAAAAAAAGAGAAACAAAACCAAACACTAAAGATAATCATCAAATCATAAGAGAATAAAAGAAAAAAGGATCAAAAAAGAACTACAGAAACAACTCCCAAACCATGAACACAATGGCAATAAGCACATACATATCAAGAATTACTTTAAATGTAAATGGACAAAATGCTTCAATCAAAAGGCATAGAGAAGGAGAATGGACACAAAAACAAGACCTATACATATGCTACCTATAAGAGACACTTCAGATCTAAAGACACACATAGACTGAAAATGAGTAGACAGAAAGAGGTATTCCATGCAAATGGAAACAAAATGCAAACTAGGGTAGCAATACTTATATAAGATGAAATAGGCTTTAAAACAAAAACTGCTACAAGAGACAAAGAAGGACATTACATAATGATCAAGGGATCAATCCAAGAAGGTAAAATAATTATAAATATATATGTACCCAATATAGGGCCATCTAAATACATAAAGCAAATATTAATAGACATAAAGGGAGAAACTGACAGTAACACAACAATAGTAGGAGACTTTCACACCTCATTTTCAATAATGAACTCATTATCCAGACAGAATATCAGTAAGGTAAGGAAAAATGGGCCTTAAATGACATATTATAACAGATGGACTTTACTGACATGTATAGAACATTCCATAGAAAGTCAGCAGAATACACCTTCTTTTTAAATACACAAGGAACAATTTTTCAGGATAGATCACATGCCAGGCCACAAAACAAGCTTTGGTAAATACAAAAAAAAATGAAATACTATTGAGCATCTTTTCTGACCACAACTCTATGAGATATGAAATCAACTACATGAACAGAACTGCAAAAAACACAAACACATGGAGGCTAAACAATATACTACTAAACAATTAGAGCACTGAAGAAACCAAAGAAAAAAAATAAAAAGAGACAAATGAAAATGAAAATACAATAATCCAGAAGCTATGGGGTGCAGCAAAAGCAGTTCCAAGAGGGAAATTTATAGCAATACAAACTTACCTCAGGAAACAAGAAGAACTCAAACAAACATCCTGACCTTACATCTAATGGAACTAGAAAAATAACAAAAAACCCCAAAGTTAATAGAAGGAAAGATATCATAAAGATAAGAGTAAAAATAAATTAAACGAAGGCTAAAAAAAAATAGGAAAGATAAATGAAACTAAGAGCTCATTCTTTGAAAAGATAAAACAAAATTGAGAAAACTTTAGCCAGACTCACCAAGAAAAAAAGAGGGCCCAAATCAAAAAAATAAGAAATGAAAAAGAAGTTATAACTGACACCACAGAAATACAAAGGATCATAATAGATCACTATAAATCACTAAATGCTAAAATAGAATACATACAAGAAATGGGCAAATTCCTAAAAGTGTATACTCTCCTAAGACTAAATCAGAAAGAAATAGAAAAATATGAACAGATCAATTACCAGTAATGAAACTGAATCAGTAATTAAAAACTCCCAAAAAGTTTCAAAGGTGTATTCTAACAAACATTTAGGAAAGAGTTAACACCTATCCTCTAACTATTCCAAAAAACTGCAGAGGAAGAAATGCTTCCAACTTATCTACAAGGCTAGCATCTCCCTGATACCAAAATCAGTTGACGATATCATGCAAAAATAGAAAATTACAGGCCAATATCACTGATCAACATAAATGCAAAAATTCTCAACAAATATTAGCAAACTGAATCTAACAATACATTAAAAGGATCATATACCATGATCAAATGGGATTTATTCCATTGATTTAAGGATAGCTCACTATTCACAAGTCATTCAGTGTGATACATCACATTAACAGTTTGAAGAATAAAAACCATATGATCATCTCAATAGATGTAGAAAAAGCTTTTGATAAAATTCAACATCCATTTTGATAAAAACCCACCACAAAGCAAGTATAGTGGGAACATTCCTCAAAATTATAAAGACCATATATAATAAGCCCACAGCTAACAGCATATTCAATGTGTATGTGTAGAAGCATGTTCTCTAACATCAGAAACAAGATAAGGATGCCCACTCTCACCACTTCTATTCAACACAATATTGGAAGTCCTAGACACAGCAATAAGACAAAAAACAAAAAAGAAATAAAAGGAATCTAAACTGTAAAGGAAGAAGGAAACTGTCCCTCTTTGCAGATGAAATGCTATGAAAAGAAAGTCCTAAAGACATCACCAAAAAAACCTACCAGAGCTCATCAATGAATGTAGTAAAGCTGCAGGATACAAAATTAATATACAAAAATCTGTTGTATTTCTATACGCTAACAACAAATTATCAGAAAAAGAAATTAAGGAATTTCCCCATTTTCAATTGCATCAAAAAGAATAAAATACCTAGGGGTAAACGTACCTAAGGACATAAAAGATCTGTACTCAGAAAACTAAATGATAGTGATGAAAAACTGAAGATGACACAACTAGATGGAAAGATATACTGTGTTCATGGACTGGAAGAATTAATATTGTTAAATTGACCATACTACCCAAGGCAATTTACAGATTCAATGCAATCCCTATCAAAATACCAATGGCATTTTTCACAGAACTAGAAGAAATAATTTTAAAATTTGTATGGTAGCATAAAAGATCCTGAATAACCAAAACAATCTTGAGAAAGAACAGAGCTGGAGGAATCATGCTTCCTGACTTCAGAGTATACTACAAAGCTATAGTAATCAAAACATTAGCATACTGGCACAAAAACAGACACACAGACCAATGGAACAGACTATACAATCCAGAAATAAACCCATGCACTTATGTCAATTAATCTATGACAAAGGAGGCATGAATAAACAATGGAGAAAAGACAGTTTCTTCAATAAGTGGTGCTGGGAAAACTGGACAGCTACATGTAAAAGAATGAAATTACAACATTTCTCATACCATATACAAAAATAAACTCAAAATGGATTAAAGATCTAAATATAAGACTGGAAACCACAGAAATCCTAGAAGAAAACAGGCAGAGTACTCTTTGACATAAATCATAGCAATATTGTTTTGGATCTATCTCATAAGGCAAAGGAAATAAAAGTGAAAATAAACAAATGGGATCTAATTAGAATGGAAAGCTTTTGCACAGAAAAGGAAACCATCAACAAAATGAAAGGAGGACTTACTGAACAGGAAAAAATATTTGCAAATGATATGACCTATAAGGGATTAATTTCCAAAATACATAAATAGCTCATACAACTCAATATCAAAAAAACCCCAAAAAACAAAAAACCAAACAACCCAATCAAAAAAATGGTCAGAGGACCTGTAAAAACATTTTCCAAAGAAGATACACAGATAGCCAACAGGCATGTGAAAAGATGCTAAGCACTGCTAATTATCAGAAAAATGCAGATCAAAACCACAATGAGATATCACCCTACTCCTGTACCATCAGAAAGAATGCAAATAACAAACATCGGTGAGGATGTAAATTGGTGCAGCCACTGCAGAAAACAGTATGGATGTTCTCAAAAAACTAAAAATAAAACCACCATATGATTCAGCAATTCCACTCCTGTGTATGTACCTAAAGAAAACAAAAACACTAATCCGAAAAGATACATGCACCTCAATGTTCATAGCACCATTATTTATAATAGCCAAGATATGGAAACAACCTAGTTGTCCATCAACAGATGAATGGATAAAGAAGATGTGATGGACAGACAGGTAGATAGGTAGGTAGGTAGGGTAGGTAGAGACACACAATGAAATACTACTTGGCCATAAAAAGAATGAAATTTTGTCTCATGCAAAAAATACAGATTGACCTGGAGGGTATTATGCTTAATGAAATAAGTCAGACAGAAAAGATAAATACTCTATGTTATCACTTATAGTGTAATCTAAAAAATAAAAGAAACAAGCAAATACAACAAAACAGAAACAGATTCACAGATACAGAGAATAAACATTAGTTACCAGTGGGGAGAGGGTAGTGGTGAGGGACAAGATAGAGCAGGAGATGAAAAGGTACAAACTACTACATATAAAATGAATAAGCTACAAAGATATACAGCACAAGGAATATAGCCAATATTTTATAATAACTACATGGAATATAATCTATAATAAGTTTGAATCACTATGCTGTATACCTGAAACTAATATACTATTGTAAATCAACTATACCTCACTAAAAAAAGTGTTTCATTTAAAAAAAAAAACTCCCCTAAAATAGTTGTTGATACAAGTACCAAAAGACTCCCAGAACATAAAATATAATGGGGCCAGAGTAAATACTAATCATGTCAACTGGTTTCAAATCAGATATTAAAATAGAGTAAGATACCTGACATTCCTATTTTCTTCTGCCACATTTTTCTTTAAAATGACATTTGATCAATCAACCTTTGAGCTTTTTCCCCTCTAGAATTCTTCACACAAGTGTTTTTTTGTGCTTGAGAAAAACAGTAGCAGATCAATTTTAAAATGGAGATTTAAAATAAAACCAAGGAAAAGGAGAAAAAGGAACAGTATTAAGAGAAGGAAAGAAAAGAACGGATAGGAAAATGGGAAAGTTTGGCATACTTTCCAAAGTTAGGGAAGGATACTAAGGCCTCCAAGGAGAAGGCCTTAATAAAGCTTCTTTTGCTCCTCATTCTGTATATTCCCTCTCAGCACTCCCAAATGTATGTTAAGAACCGCTTCAAAGAAGGTTATTTTAGCAATTGGTGGGAACCAAGATAAATCTGATACCAAGTAAGTAACAATATATTACAATTTTTTTCAAAATTAATGGCTATACATCAACCAGGATCAAAATGGGGAAGGGTAGATGAAATGTATGTATCAGTGAGTTCAAATTATAAAGACAATGAAAATTTACAAATCCAAACCTGCATTATTTTCTAGATTCACATCTGCTCCAGACTGTACTAGAGCTTTCACCAGAGACAAATTTCCTCTTCTGGCAGCCAAATGAAGCCGGCTTTCCCCTCTGGCAGGCCTCTTGTTGATCCCAGCTGTTTCCATTTCTGTAAGTTTGCCAAACATAACTGAGGCTTCTTTTCTACCAAGTGCTTGATTATTATGAAAGAGATCAGAAAACACATAGCAACTTCCTCAAAACATCCTAAGCAGGACACACTACAGAGAAGCATACCTTAATTAATACTATCATTGCTGTTACTATTTGGAAGTGTAACTTACAAAGAAATGACAGAACATCTAAGACATTACTTCAAATTCATTCTAGCAGTTGTTCACTATATCATATGCTTGATTTAAACAAATAAAACTTGCTTCATTTCTACACTCATTTCACTCTCAGTAGTCCTTAAGCAATTTATAAAAAGTTTCTTAAAACAAAATGATTTCATAAAAATCTTCTTTCTATAACTATTCCCTATCTCAATCAGTGTGTTTCTGATCATACAAGATGCCAAGAACCAAACTATGGGGTATGGCCTATTAGGTATTTTATTTTTCTTTCATAGAAAATGCAGTACAGTATCATTATCCATTGATTTTTTTAAAATCGTTTCCTTGCATCACAAATTAGAAAGACTTGAGTTGGAGCTAAAAACAGTGAACAGTTTTTTCCCTATTTCCTCCCCCAGACCATGCTAAAATGATGTAGTGAAAGGTTCTAAGTAAGATCATATAAAGAAAATAGAAAAGGTAACAACAGAGGACAAAGACTTCACTTGAGGAAGTGGAAAGTCACTGACAGAAGAGTTAACTGATTTGGCAGAGTGTGGAATGTTCCAACCCAAGTACCTGCAAAGGGAATCTGGAGGAAGAGAGGCCACGTAAACCCAGGTACTCAGCACTTCAGGGTATCACCTACCATAAAAGGCAGCGCGTGAAACAGGCTGGAAACAGGAAGACTGAAAGTATAGATATAGAAAAACTGGGACTCCAACTTCCCTTTCCCAAGCCCAAACTGCCTGGCAAGTACTCCCCAGCCAGGAACCTGGAGGTTTATTTTCTGTAGAAATTGCATCAGCGAAGCTTCAGACTGTGATGCAAGGCAAAGTACAGGATTAGGATGAAGAAACAGAAAAGTCCCTTAACCCAGTAGTTCTCAAGGTGTAGTTCCAGATTAGCGGTATCAATATCACCTGGGAAAATACTTAGAAATGTAAATTCTCCAGCCCAGCCCAAGCCTACTATAGAGGGTAGACTTTAAAATTGTTCCTAATGATCCTCACCTCCCAGTATTTATGTCCTTGTATAACCCCCTCCTCTTGACAAAACTTGCTTCTAGTGAACAGAATACCTCTCCCTTGTGGGTATTTCACTTCCTTGACTAGGTTACAAGAGACTGTATCATCTTCTGTTTTACTAACAGACTTGTTCTACTGCCTTCAGCTTGCCCAGCAGATGAAGCAAGTGGCCACGCTGGAAAATTTCATGCGGCAAGGAACTGAGGATGACCACAGGACATGCACAACTGTCAAGGAACAGAACTCTATCAACAACCACATGAGCTTGAAAGTGAACCCTTCCCTAGTTTAGCCTTCAGATGAGACCCCAGTCCTGACCTGCATCTCGATCGCAGCCTTTGAAAGATCCTGAGCAGAGGACCTGGCTAAGCCATGCCCAATTCCTGACCTACAGAAAGTATGAGATAACGTGTGTTGGTTAAAATTAGTACGTTTGTGGTAATTCAGTATACACTAATAGATAACTAATATACCTACTGAATCAGACTTTCTGAGAGTAGAGCCCAGCAATCTGTGTTTTAACAAGTTTTGCAGATGATTTTGATGCAAGCTAAGGTTTAGAACCACTATATTAAACCATGAGCCCCTTTCCCTGCCCTATTTCCTAAATGCCAGCAACCAGGCATATAAATTCAGGGCAACAGATAGAAAGAATAGAGGAACACTCTCTAAAAGATGGATTCTTTGGTTATATCAATCACAGGGAAGACTGACAGCCTCATGTCTATCTTCCATTGACATCCAGATAAAAACATACTGCTCTTTGGATATCTGCACTCAAGTTCTTTATTGGAAGAAGATATATATTTCATGTTATACATACATATATAGAATGTATTTTAAAATTACAAAATACCTAAGATAGTAGGCCTGCAGATTGCAAGTTTGAATTGAAAAAGCTCTCCCCAAAATTGTTACTGTGGATGGTACAAATCCTCTCACTTTGTTCCTGATATATCTGTAGCAAAGAAGCTAGGCACATGGCAAATATTTTGGGGCAAAAATCAAAAATTATTCAATGTTACTGCCATCATAAATTTCTGTAACATTCAACTAAAATGTTTAAATAACAATATCTGACAGAAACTAGAAAGGAAACAAATAGTATTCACACTGACCTCACAAGAAATTTCTTCATGAAAGTCCACTGTAGTTAATGTTAGGTACTTCTTAATTACATTATACTTTATTAATATTTGAATTATTATTAATTACTTATGAAGTATAATGCAATTAAGAAACATTCATTTTTCAGTTTCTTTATATGCAATCTTTCTTTTCTTCCCTGGAAGCTTTTAGGATCTTTTCTCCCTTGTTTTGAAATTTCAGTGAGATAGATGTTTTCTTACTCATTGTACTGGATACTGGTTCACTCCCTTTCAATATGGAAACTCCTGTCCTTAATTTCTTGTACTATTTTTTTGGTGATTTCTTCTATTTTCACTGTTCTTTCTGAATACCCTGGAGTGATCTTCTGATCTTCTCTCTCTTTATTTTCCTTTTTTTTCTTCCATTTTTGTCCTTTACAGGAGACTTGTAAATAAACCTTTGCCTTCTAATCCTGCTATAGATATCTATATATTTTTTTAATTTATGCAATTATATTTTTAACATGTAAGGACTACCTATTGTTCTCTGAATGTTCCTTCCTTTGTACACATTATTTTTTTCAAATTTTAGAGATTTCCTGATTCTTGTGTTGTTCCTGTTTCTTCTGGGTTCCTTTGGTCTGGTTAGTTTGCTTCAATGTCTCTTTTATACTGGGGTTTTCCACAAATATTTGATCTTTGGCTACCCATATTTAAATGAGATAAACTAAAATGCTGATTGAAAATGCGTGAAGGACGAGGGGAGTAGGGCAGCGCTCAGGGCCTGGCTGAATTCTCTGTTGAGTGATCAAGACGTATGCTGGCCTTTGTGTTAGTGAATAACCAGATGTCAATATTTAGAATTCTTTCCTCTGGGACAGTTCAATTTATTTATTAGTTAAATCAAACAATTGGGCACTGTGTTCTAAATAACAGGGAGGAGACACTATTTTTTCTTCAAGTAGTCTACAGTCTAGTAGAATGAGAGACATGTAAAAAAATTACATTAAAATATGATTAAGTGCTGTTAGGGAAATGTATTAGTTTCATGTGATAGCTGTAACAAATGACCACCAATTAGGAGAATCCTTCCTGGCCTCTTCCAGCTTCTAATGGACACCAGCACTCCTTAGCTTCCTTGGCTTTTGGCCAAGAGAATGCCTAATATTCCTACCTTCTATTACATCAACTTTTTCTTACTAAATCAACTTTTCAGTGCTTAACATTTAACCTGAAGTGGTCCAGCCTATTACTCACCACAGAACTAGCTCCAAGAACTATTAAAGCATAGTTAGCTATCCATACTGCCAAGTGTACCCAGTTCACTCATCTGACACACAGAAACTAGTGGCTATGCTTCTTTAACTTTCCTATGTTTAAACGGTTCAGTGGAAGTATCTAAGGGGTCTGGCACAATTCAGATGTGCTGCCCCTACTCAACATTCTCACTGTCTCTACTGTTTACCTTATCTCCTCTAACATAAATTAGTCATAGGCAAAAATACAACAATATATTGGAAGACTAACAGATTCTCAAGTGGTGCTTTATAGTAAAACCATCTGACAAATACAGCTAAAATAATCTTACAAATTAGTAAACTAGTAAAAACATAAACAGTAAATCTGTACAAATTCCTTGAAGGACAATATATTGCTAGGTTTGATCATGCAAACCTTTACCTATATAAGTAGAGAAATACACACCTTGGCTGCAGGTAGCTTTCAAGAAATTTTGTTTTTTCCTCAAATTTTTAACTTTTTTGTGTTCTTGGATATTAGTAGGCATATGAATTTCTAAATCTGTTTTTTCTTTTTTCTCCTCACAATTTCTTATAGTGCTTTCATCTCCATTGACAATAATAGTTAATTCCTCATCTGAAAAAGAAACATTTTACAATATCAGTGGTACTGGTTACTTGACTAAAAAAGAATCTAGTCAAGTAATTGTTCCAAGCTTCTGTTCCCAGCTGACTGTTTATTTTAAAGGAATGGAAGCCTTTAAATATGTTTTCATAGGGAGGAAGTGGATGGGAAGGGATAAATTAAGAGTTCGAGATTTGGAGATACTGACTGGTATATATAAAACAGATAAACAAGGTTATACTGTATAGCACAAAGAACCATATTCAGTATCTTATAGTAACTTACGGTGAAAACTAGTATGAAAGCGAATATATGTATATTCATGTACGGCTGAAACATTGTGCTGTACACCAGAAATTGACACAACATTGTAAACTGACTATACTTCCTCCCCCAAAAAAAGAAAGAAAAAAGTTTTCATACAATATAGTTTGCTGGTTGCAATTTCAACAGTGAATCATTGAAATCAATGGAGCTAACAATTTCCTGCAATGAAAATGATTTTAGGCTTCTTGATGCTAAATAAGAGCTACACTAAAAAGAAATATAAAAATTGACAGAAATACTATTTATTAACTTCTGTCAATATCAATTTAGCACCATCTTTGATGATAATGGCTTTACTTTCAAAGTAAACACTATTACTTAACTAATTAATAGTATCTCCAAGTTACGGCCCACATGTCCTCATTCTTACCAGTTTGGGCATGGGTTGAGTGAAATTCAGCTGGAAATTTCTATAAAATAAGTAAATCTACAGCACATGTGTACAAACTGAGCAATACTACTACCTGCTTTGTGAGAAATCTCCTTCTCTTCTCTTTGACTAAGTTGTGAGATGCTGGTCAATTCTTTACTGATATTGTCAGTGGAATGAAAATCCATATTATGTATGGTTTTGTTCCCTTGTCTCCTTTTTTCAACTTTAGTTGTTTCTATTACTTGAGAATGAACAACTGTGGATAAAGAGCTATTTGAAGAACTTGTTTTTTGGCCTTTGTCAGTGTAATTCCTTTCAGCATCTCCTTTCTTATTCACCTTTTCCACAGTGTGTGCATCTGTCTGATTCATTAAAGGAGCTGATGTTCTGTAGCTACAATCCTGTGGCCTCTCGAATAGCTCCGCATGACTAGTCAACTTTGAAACTTCATGTATTGAGTGTGCTCTCGTACAAGCCGAGGAAGTATGCTCAGGACTCCCATGTAAATGATCAAAAGAAGTTCTGCATGCACATTGTTCATCATCTGGAACGTGTTCAGAAACCATTATATTACCGGAATTTGAAAAATTAATAGCTTCCTGTTGTGGAAGTATGGTTAAGTTGTCTGCTTTGAATGCATTTCCTTGTGAAAATGGTCTTCAGAAGGTAAAAACTGTTGAAAATCCATTTCTTCCCTATTTGTTATATTCTCTTTATAATTATCCTGGTTTTTGTAATCTGAAAAACTTACCACCTTTTTAGATTTTACAGTCTCTCCAGAGGCACGGGAACCAGTATCATCATCACCATCATTAAAGTTTTCCTTTATAAAGGATGGAGAAGAATTTTCCCACTTATTATGGCTCTCATCTTTTTGATCTGAGTTACTGTTTTCATAAGATTTACAAGGGCTAGTGTGCTGCTGGTCTTGGTGAGTCTGAGGCTGCTGATCTGCAGTAACAGGTGGTAACTTGGTCGTTTTATTCAAAAAAAGTCCTGAGAAAGAAACAGCTTCAACTTGGTCAATGGATTCTAATCCCAGAAATTTTATTTCTTGACTATCTGATAAATCCAGGCTCTGAGTATGTGTCTCTTTGGAAACTGAACAAGTCTCCATATTATTACCTAAACCAATTTTCAAGCCTGACGGAGCTGAGCTAGAAGGTTTACATGACTTTTCTGGAAGGTGATCAAGGGTTTGGAGAATCTGCTGCTGATGAGGAACCAACTTGTTTGTTCTTCTGGAAGAAGAGACAGCTATTGTCTTTCTTGGATTGCTTTCTTGGATTATATGATCCACTTGAATCCTTTTATGTCGTGTATATCTTCTTCCTTTACCTTTAGACACATTTGTGCTGGGATTCCTGACATTATGGAGATTGTCCTTTCTGAGTCCTGTAGAGTATTTCTGGTTAAGAGCTGACTGCTTATACTTGGATTTACCAAATTTCCTGCTTTGGGAATCTTTTTGGTAATATTCATATACAGCTTCTTTATTTATAAATAAACTGTCTTTGCCTTCTTTATTGACTTTTGCATGTTCTGGCTTCTGTCTGTTGGAATTTTCATCACAAGCAAACCCACTGTGATTTTTAGAACTGAATTTTGGTTTCTATAGAAACAAAATACATAGCATTAGTTTTCACATGTAGTTCTACACTCAATTCATTCTGGATTGTTGATAAAGCAAACTATTATTCCATTCAATTTACAACTTGATCTAACAACAGGGTCTGCTGGGATATATATAACTTGATATATATTTCAGAAAAGTAGACTAACAGAAGAAAGGTAAATGTAATAGACTCAGATTCAGTATGTTTACTAATCTTTATTTGCTGCTGTGCATTTTAATTTTTTGCCAATATTTTAGCACTAACAATCTTATTTTCACAATAAAAAATTTAATCTACTTAATTTTTATAGGCTTTTAAAATAATCAGATAAAAGTTTTCCTTTTAAAGGAAACTTTACAAGAGTGCTTTAGAAACACTCTCCCCTCTCATTTGTTACATAGATAGAGCTAGAATTAAGAGTTTATTCCTCTGCTATCTGTGAGAGACCACAGGTTGGGCAGCAGAAGAAGGGATTTAAAAAAAAAGACGATGTGCAACCAAGTTGCCGCTAAGATTAAAATAGGAACATTGCTTCCTCTCACATATCACAACCCAAGCATCGGATGAAGAGTAAATGCCCACATGTAAAGTCTGAAGCGATGGATCAACACCTTTGACTCTTATACTGTGCTTAGGCCAGAGGAAATTCGACATGGTTGATAAACCTCATGGCTCCATGCAGAGGAGGAAGGAAATGGCTACCAATACATTAGTGTGTCCAGATACGTTACATTTACTCAACTGCTTCCCAAACTAACAGCCCAGAACCTTCTGGTTCTCATGTAGTTATTCCAAAGTGTCTTAATCAAAGGTGAAGCCACTATTCCTGGTGAATGCTTCAGTAGTCTTCCTTTCCCCTCTGATGATCTATAACATCACCAGCAAGTGCATTTTACAAAAATGTTTATTGCTAAACAGAGATATACCTTGTGCTGGTGTGCATCCTCTCTGTCTGAAGGGTCAGTGCTATTCTTTTGAGCTGTAAACAAAAAGAGAAAATCAAAGGAAACAGCCTCCACTGGTCAGACTCTAGAATTCTAAAACCCCAAGTCCTTTGTCATGAGAAAACCAAGTGGAAAAAGTGAAATTATGCAAACACTTTCTCTTAAAATTGGCACATATAACATTCCTATAATTTATAATTTACATATTTATTAGAAACCAAATGCTATCTTTAGAGAGCTGAAAACATTACTGTAAGAAATGCAAAACAGACTCAATAAAATAATGCTAAAGATGGACACTGAACTCAGTATTGTTGTATTCCCCACAGTTTATACTCAGATATGCTACTATGTGCAAGCTTTTATAAGGCAAAAAATTATTTCATAATTAATTGTATTATCATAATTTCCTAATATGTCTGTCTTAATAAAGTTGCAGGACACAAGATTAATATACAGAAATCTGTTGCTTTTCTATACATTAATAATGAACTACTAGAAAATGAAAGCAAAAAAAAAAATTCCATTTACATTCACAACCTTACCAAAAAGAATAAAATACTTAGGAATAAATTTAATCAAGGAGGTGAAAAACATGAAAACTATAAAACATTTATGAAGCAAACTGAAGATGATACAAAGAAAAGGAAAGATATCTTATATTCTTAGATTAGAAGAATTAATACTATTAAAATGATCATACCACCGAAAGCACTCTAAGGATTTAATGTAATCCCTATCAAAATATCCACAACATTTTCCACAGAACTAGAACAAATAATCCTAAAATGTATATGGAACCACAAAAGACCCTGAATTGCCAAAGCAAACTTGAGGAAAAACTGGAGGTCTCATGCTCCC